TGTTCTGCTGAGGATATTTAGCACAGCCCACACACACACACAGAACAGGACCGCACAGAAGATGCAGACATGCACGTGGCCCAGTGGAGGCACACGCACAGAACCACAACATGAGAGAAATATTCACTCTGTTTATGTAATGCTTCCACTGAGAGCTCAAGGTCAGTGATGTATTTCAAAAGAGACTTCAGGAAAACAGCCATTTACTCCAAAGTGATGGAGTTCTGTCAATGCTGTGGGGAATTTGATCTTATCTGCTCTTAGAAAGGTGAAATGGGGTCATTCGTCGCTGTGTCTCTGATCTTGAACTTGGTCAATCAGATGTCCTTGAAGGCCAAACAACACACGAGACACTCGTATATAAAACACTAAGCAATCAAGAAATAAGACAATCCGAGCCTCATAACTGATGTGTGCCTAGTCACAGAATCTCTAGTTTGCTCTATAGTCTAGTTTACTTTAAAGGAGTCATATGACGTTGCTAAAAAGAACATTATGTTGTGTATTTGGTGTAATGCAATGTGTTTATGCAGTTTAAGGTTAAAAAAACACATAATTTTCCACATAATGTACATTATTGTTGCTCCTCTATGCCCCGCCTTTCTGAAACATGTTGATTTTTACAAAGCTCATCGGTCTGAAAAGCGAGGTGCACGCCAGCTATCCAGTGCGTTGTGATTGGCTGAATACCTCAAGCGTGTGACGGAAATGTTACACCCCTTACCATACTGTGATGCCGTGTCCCGGCGCGATGAGACAACACCAATAAAACCCATTACAAACGAGGCATTTGTTGCATCCAGTGGGGACATAATTACTGATTATAATGACTTATACTATCTTTTTACGCGTTGCGTTGCGTATCGTGCCACGTAAACATAAAACCATGTCTGCATTTGTGACCGGAGAAATTACAAACAACAAGCGCTACTCTACACTGCTCAAAACTCGCGTTTAAATCGTCAGTGGCAAATTATTTAAATATAAAAAAACCTTACTTACAGGCTGTGAGTCAGAAGCGCCAGACTGTCCCTGCAAAGTTGGAACTGCCCCACTTTATAAAAACAGCCTTTGTGTGTAGACAGCATTGTAGGCTACTCTGCAGGTTCAGGAAACAGTCCTCCATAAAATGCGCTGCACACATCTGAATATTTGGGTTGAACTGTTCTGGAACAGTGTTGTAAATACAACTTAACCACTGATTTCTAGCTGTGTCCTCTTTTGGAAGGCCAAACAAAGTAGGTTCGCTTTCACAACGAAACACACCATCACACACTGCGGGCTAGAGTGAGCGGAGGCGGGCGGGCTAGAGTGAGCAGAGGCCGGGGGCTTGAGAACGGCACGGCCGGCGGGCTTGTGGCAACCACATGTGACGACCCCGGGCTGGACTCCACTTTGTCCACGGTGAAAGCTGATCCGGCGATCCACAGTGCGAAGTTGATGTATTTCCTCAGCGAACAGCACGGATCAGCTCCAGGCATGACGAAGCGGATATCGTCTTCTTTTTGAAGACCAAACAAAGTATTTTCGCTTTCACAATGAAACATACAGTGTCTCCACAACATGGCGGCGGCAGCAACAACAATACTACAGCGAGAATAAAAGTTACGGCTTCTTTCTTTGCATGAACATTTTGGGCGGTGTTATGCAAATCTTCCTACGCCAGTGACGTAGACGTGGGGGCGTGTTAAAACGAGGCGTTTTAGGAGGGTGTGGACGAGTCTTAACTTTTATAAAGAATATCTCTTTGGGTTTGAGACTTTAGTCTTTGCAACTTTAGGGATCTTATCTAGTCACGAACAGCTTGTAACACACCAAAGAGAAAGGAAAATTTGAAATTGCATCATATGACCCCTTTAAGACTGGTTTGATTTTTTGCATACAATTGTAGCGTCTGGACCACCCAAACACACAATATATATTTTGTTAGCTAGATTTAACAAATACTCTGTAACAGCCGTGAGTGGCAGGAACAGGCCCCTGATTCCATGGTAACCCTGACACCCGATCCATTTACGACCTCCTGGAATTTAGGCGAAGAAAATCCCCTTCCTTGCCCATAAGGAAAATCCACAAGGAATGGACTTTTCTACTAATTAATTCATAGGAAAACCTTTCTTTGAATGAACAGTGTATCCTTCAGGTCATTGGGTATATTATTGTCATCGTGTATTTTGTCTTTGATATTTTTAGACTATTTTAG